AAGCTGTCACTGAAGCATCCCAGGCTCAAGAACAGGCTGAAGTTGAAGCCAATGAAGCCATAACTGAAGCATCTCAGGCTCAAGAACAGGCTGAAGTTGAAGCCAATGAAGCCATAACTGAAGCATCTCAGGCTCAAGAACAGGCTGAAGTTGAAGCCAATGAAGCTGTTACTGAAGCATCTCAGGCTCAAGAACAGGCTGAAGTTGAAGCCAATGAAGCTGTCACTGAAGCATCTCAGGCTCAAGAACAGGCTGAAGTTGAAGCCAATGAAGCTGTTACTGAAACATCTCAGGCTCAAGAACAGGCTGAAGTTGAAGCCAATGAAGCTGTAACTGAAGCATCTCAGGCTGAAGTTGAAGCCAACGAAGCTGTTACTGAAGCATCTCAGGCTCAAGAAGAGGCTGAAGTTGCGGCCAGTGAAGTTTCTCAAGATGAAATTATATCAGGCTTATCCCGCAGTGATCTGGTGACCGAACAAGAGGTAAGTGAAGGAACATCGGGTGTGAAAGTTGAGGCCAATGAAGCTGTAACTGAAGCATCTCAGGCTCAAGAACAGGCTAAGTTTGAAGCCAATGCAGCCATAATTGAAGCATCTCAGGCTCAAGAACAGACTGAAGTTGAAGCCAATGAAGCTATAACTGAAGCATCTCAGGCTCAAGAACAGGCTGAAGTTGAAGCCAATGAAGCTGTCACTGAAGCATCTCAGGCTCAAGAACAGGCTGAAGTTGAAGCCAATGAAGCTGTCACTGAAGCATCTCAGGCTCAAGAACAGGCTGAAGTTGAAGCCAATGAAGCTGTAACTGAAGCATCTCTGGCTCAAGAACAGGCTGAAGTTGAAGCCAATGAAGCCATAACTGAAGCATCTCAGGCTCAAGAACAGGCTGAAGTTGAAGCCAATGAAGCTATAACTGAAGCATCTCAGGCTCAAGAACAGGCTGAAGTTGAAGCCAATGAAGCCATAACGGAAGCATCTCAGGCTCAAGAACAGGCTGAAGTTGAAGCCAATGAAGCTATAACTGAAGCATCTCAGGCTCAAGAACAGGCTGAAGTTGAAGCCAATGAAGCCATAACTGAAGCATCTCAGGCTCAAGAACAGGCTGAAGTTGAAGCCAATGAAGCCATAACTGAAGCATCTCAGGCTCAAGAACAGGCTGAAGTTGAAGCCAATGAAGCTGTTACTGAAGCATCTCAGGCTAAAGTTGAAGCCAATGAAGCTGTAACTGAACTTATCCCTGAAGCTTCTGTTGCTGAACAAGAAACTTCCCTTGACATCAATGATTTGTCCAAGCAACAAACTCAAGAAAATGGAACAGAAGAGGAAATTATTTCTGAACCAATTGTTGAGGCCAGTAACACCGACGACGATGAATATTGGAAGAAGATGACCAGGAACTCTTCATTGCCACAGACTGAGGAAACTTCACCTGCCTCAGAATCAACAGAAGCTACTGCCACAGAAGCCATTGACAAACAAATTGAAAAGGTTGCCGAAAAGTATGGACTGAAACCAACAAAGACCACAACACACGCTCAGAGCAAGTCACGAGCACAGATTAACGAACTGAGGGAGAAGAGAAGTTTCGTTGATAGTGTCGCCCACTACGTTGCAAGCTTCTTTTAATTTATCAGCTCTGCCAATATATACTGCTATGTATGATAGGCAGTAAGCCTTTTAGTTTTAATGTTATTTATATAATGTAACAATACTGGGCAGGTGTGTTTATCGGAACACTTTTAGAAATAATATTATATGTTAGAATATGACAAAAAATCGAGAGGAAAAAATATGGTGTATGGATCAAGGAAATTCAAATCTTACAAAGAATAACATAGATTCCTGGCTAATGTAAAGGATTTATATGTGATTCACATATAAGATTTAGGGCATTTGAGTGTTTAAAATGTTTCTGAAACAATAAATTCATCTCTGTAAGTATACTACACAAACTAAATTGCTTAATAAGCTTTTACACCATGGTTATGCCTTAAGTAGGTAATTCAGTATGTCAGAAGATTATGCACTACCAGGTTATTCGTATGGTGATGTGCTCTTTGCTTAGGGTTCCATGACTTTTCACTTTTCCAAAAAGATTGAAGTATTTCAGATCAAGCTTTTCTCCTTGTTCTATATAGGTTGTTAAGTCCTGTTGTATCTCTTTATATTTATTATTCAACTAGTATGTATGCCTTTTGCATTACATTTACCTATACAATTTACTGAAAAGGAGAGGAACAACAAAAATGTTGGGAAATATAGTTCACACAGATTACAAATAACAGGTTTGAGCACTTTTTGGTTTACGAAAAATACCCTGCACTGGCTACGGAAATTTACAGTATTAACGTTAAATCTGTATACTCACTGAAACTAGAGCAAGTCAAGATAACTGTTAAAAAAAACAAATATGTAAGTTTCTGTATTATACCCATCACAGGGTGCATATGTAGGAATGAGAGAATGTATGCGTGCCAAGCATTGGAAATAAATTATTTATTAAAGTACATATTTAATTAGCAATCCCATATAAACACAGTGTTATTTGTGTAAATTGTTACATAACGAAATGCTTGTACATATAACGTGCATTATTTTTGTCACTGGAAAAATGGAGATGCTCTGCTCTGACGTTAGTTACTTTAATTATAAATGTCTATCTGAAATTATCGATATGGAAGTTAACAAGAGTCCGAATCATCCATACTAGGAAGCTATTTAACCTGGGACTTTATATGAATCACAAATTTTTAAACCTTTCAAGCAGACGTCCCACTTAGAATGTTTTGGGTATTGATCCAAACCTTTGCCTGAAGCCAAAGAGATTATTTTTTACAAGATTTTACAAGATGAAAAAGTTTGTCATGTGATTAAAACATGCAACAATTATCAGAATAGCATCAATTAATAAACATAAACAACAGGCCTTTTTGTAGCAACTTCGATACATGTTTGCTCTCTATGCGTACATTATTGGAACCCGTTGATATAATCTTTTCGGTTTGTATCAAGTTGAATGTCTTTACCTTGATACAGTGCAATACACTCAAACCATCCAATCAGAGCGCGATTTTTTTTCCAATATATTTCATGTAGTCACATATAGGGATTTATATTTTCACTAATTGCCGATCGCATACATATACATATATACTATATATCATATATATACATACACACATATTCTTATATGTATAAAAATATATACAAATACATATACATGTACACACACACACACACACACACACACACACACACACACACACACACACACACACATACACACACACACACACACACACACACACACACACACACACACACACACACATATATATATATATATATATATATATATATATATATATATATATATATACCCTGCTCTCTTCTAACAGCTGTAGATAACTCTAATCTACGTACTGACATGTTTTTTTATTGGTGCTAATCAAGACAGATGTTAAAAACACACAGTGGTCTTTCCCATTCTTGTCTTCTACCCTTAAATAAGTTACATATGCACTTTGACTTGCACCACAAAAGTGATGTAGACTATAAAATCACTTTACTGAAGGAATAAAGTTTCATACAATATGGAATAATACATCTGCTTAAATGTGGCAGATCATCAAGCCACGCTTTCCATAATCTTAAATTATTTTCAGACAGCTTTTCATACCAAGTCTTACTGTCTACTTTCTGCCTGAAAGATCAATTTTTCCAGTGACAACTGCTGGGCTCACCAGACCTAAAGGGTCATAAACAGTTGCATGGGTACTTAAGAGTCCACGTCTAGTATATGGACCTTCTTTACTGACAACTCTAATGCTTAGCAAAGAATTTCCTATATCTCATTGTAAGCCTAAAACATGTTCTATATCATTATCACCAAATCTAAGGCAGAAAGCTTCTTAGAACTTTGACTTTCAGAAAAAGTTTCTCTTACCTTTTTACTGTTTGAGGCCCATTTACTTAGAGTAAAGCCTTTTGGATGGAGCAAGTTATCTACACAGAAATCCTCATTAACCGAATTAACGAGATGTCCTTCATTTTCATTTCTCTGTACTTCTGCACAACGACGAACATAAGTTGCAGTACAAGGGCTCCATATGCCTTCAGATAGATGAAGTCATTCTATATTCACTGAACATCTCTAAATTTCCCTTTAGCCACCAGCGAAAACGAAGGACATTTCTGTTTACAGGGGTTACCGACAATTATTAAAACAGACTTTATAACAGACATCAAACATATAGTCCCTTTGCGGATTCTAAGGAGCACTTCATAAAGTTTTTTTTTTAGGTCTGGTCCTTGTTATATCTGACTGTTAAGAGATTCTCCTTTACAGACTACAGCATAATCAAATACTTACCTGAACTTCTCAGGTTAATATGGATTCTTTACATTAAAGACAGGTAAACGCATCAGGCACAGGTTCAGTATAACCTTTATCTATCAGTGTTTCTATCTCATGGTCATATTTATTTACAACTCAGGATCTTTTAAGAATCTTTTTTCAATGTTCGTGCCTCTTTTCTGCCATGCTCCTATTATTGAATGGTATTGGGAGGTCGCAATGGCCTTTATTATTATTATTTTTTTTTTTACTGAATTATCCCACAGCTGTATGACTTATTTTTCCTCCTTTGATGCTCTAAGTGTATCTGAACTAAGATCTTCCACACCATCTACAGCTCATATATACTGTTTCTGAGTGAATGAAGTTGCTTAAAGGAATCTTACTCTTATTACTGAGGCTCGCAGGTCCATGGACAGCCCAACCAAGAGCATAACGTACTGCATAAGGCCTATAACAAGTTTAATCTCTCTAATTTTATCTCCTAATGGTAAATTATCAAGGTGACTCCACTTTTTAGTCTCTGCAGTAGTAGGTAAACTATTTCCCATAGTAGGTAAATTATCAACAGTATAAACATTATTTAAAAAGAAATTCTTATCGCCTTTGAATGTAATTTCAAACATCAGCTACTCGTCCTGGATTTACAGTATCAATACGAGTGGTTACATAGTCACTCTTAGATCAAGCTCTCTTAGCAATGATTTGCTACAAAAGGTGCTATCTGAACCTGTATCCAGCAGAGCTGATGAAATGATTTCATAACCTGTATTACCTTTAACTTTAACCTTAAGTATAGGTAGGCAAACTTATTTCTTAAATGAGCATTAAAACAAAAACTAATTATATTCCCAGCCTCTTTCCTTTTACTTTGATTTTTCCAATCACTTTCATCCAGTATTGAAAACAAAGGATCATCAGCTTGCCTTGCTGCCTGATCTAAAAATTCTGCCAGAAATCTTAAGCCTTAATATGGCCATATAGTAGATACCTATTGTATCTACTAGTGTGAGTCATAGGCTCTCTCCTATACTGATCTTGTAAATATAGTGTCTCTTTACTACTAACATTGCCTTCTCATGAGTTTCATCGCTGATAGTTTCCTAACAGTTACATACCTCGTCAGCTAGATCACGGAACCCTACTTTATCACCGATTTTTAATATGGGGCATCTGTTATTTTTTTCAACCAAGCACTTTTTAGGTGTAAGGAATTCCCAAAGCTTCCATACACAATTTGTATTGTACACGAGTGTACCCCCTCTCAGTATCCATTAAGTTGAAAGGAGCTATAGCCTTTACTGCCTTGCCTTCACAGCTTTGCATCAATCTACGCTTTTTAGGACTCACGGTAGCATCAAAAGATTTCATAAAATTCCAATATTTTGATAGGTTCCTATTAAATGTTTCCATTTCCGCCCTTGGCATTTGTAGCATTTTAATCAACTTACAAATTTTGGTATTTTCATCTGAAACATTATGTACTTCACCAGAATTTTATAGATCACAAGTTTTTTTTTTAACAAATTTAATTAACCTTCTTGAAACTTACAAACATATTCAACAGTATCTGGATCTAAATTACCTTCACCGTCAAGTTGGAATTCTACCACACTTTCACTTGCGTCCTCAACTTTATTTCAAGCCTAAACATATATTCTCTTATGTCTTGAAGTATCATCATATACTTGGGATTTGGATGAAATTCTACTTGTACCATCAGTGGCTTTGGAGGTTGATTATGTTAGTGCATCAACTGTATACATTTCATACCTTTTATGGGCCCTTTGAATTTCACCAGATATTCTATCTTTGTAGGCTTCTGCCTCATCAAGACCAACAAAATCATATATATATATATATATATATATATTAATATATTATATATATATATATATATATATATTATATATATCTTCCAGATATTTTACTACTAAATCATGAGCATCATCAAACCTATGGGCTTCCACTAGCTTGAAGCTGATACAATTTATTTAATCAAAGTTGACTTTACCTACAGTGGCCATATTAAGGCTCTATATATTTCACGTTACATGACCAGTATGCCGACCTTGACATTATTGCAGCTTGCAGAGCTTGCCTCTAATTTCCATCTTGGCCTCGAGCTTCATTGATGTTGGTCGTCACTGACTCAGGGTTATGCTCTGTGCGCTCAGTCTCGGAAATAGGGTTAACTCCGTCCGTCATGGTTGCGACTTGTATGATTTATCACTGATAGCAACAATTCATCATCCGTTGTGGCATGGAACACAGCTGCTCTCGTAAGCTGCCTCTGCTCACACAAAGACACTACATCAGTGTTTCCATAGCGTCGTTCTTGTCACATGCACTCGTTTCTCTTGTGCGGTGACAACGTCCTCTTGCTTTTGCTGTCTTCTTTCCGATGTTATTCTCTCCGAACTTTTGAAGATGATCGACTGCTGTCCTATCACAGCTCTCGTATGTGTTGTCACGACGTGCAGCTCTGCTCTCACCCACGGTAGTCAGCTATAGGGCTCTCAGGAACAGGCAATGCACTATGCACTTCTATGGGCACCCAAGCATTTTTATTCAGTTATTAGTTTAGGGCACTCAGCAGTCTAGCATTTGTATCAATGTCAAGCAAGAGTAAATATTAGGAATGCCTGTTTGGCGTATTTAGCAGCTGACACGTTAGAAACTGCTAGCTGTCAAGTATCTTTCTAAAGTTTCACAACGAAAGGAAACCGTTGTACTTATGTTGGGTATGAGCAATGTTAGCTCTTCAGGGCTAGCTGCTGCGCCTCTCTCTCAGTCAGAAGTTGTCTTTTAAAATATATAAGAAAATTTCCATAACACGTGACTAAAAAGATTCAAGTCTTATATCTGCATGTGAAGATGATAACTTATCAACTTGCCTTGAAACAATTTTACAAACCCTTAAAATACATTTGTAATAAACCATGATATATCAAAATTGTTCTTAAGTATCATGAACATAATCAATATATGATATTGCGAATATCATTCATACCATTTATAATTGATGTAAATATTTATTTCGGTAAATTCTCACAAACTTGACAACAGGTAAACTGTATATAAAGATACGAGTATAAATCTTTTCAATGGTATTTTTAAACAAAATCAAAATTGTATTTGGCCACA